TCTTATTTGCCTTGTCAAATGGTTGAGATTAATGGAATCTTATCACCAAAAGTATATCTGTAATTATCTGAAGGATCAAATCTATATGGGCAGACCATATTTCATCAATTTTTACTTTTTGTACTGTCAAGTACAACTATTTAACAATTAAGTATGCATTTATGAATAATTAAACAATTAAGTATGCATGTATATGTATATGTCACAAGTTTCTAATCCTCACAAGAGTCTATGGTATTGATATTGGAATTACTTGATATCACAAATTATCTCCATGTAACTGAGCAAATCTAGTAAATGTTTATGTTCTGACTGATCTATTAACCAACAATTTCCCCATCTTCTTCTGTCTCCTTATGCTTCTCTAATTACTGAAAGACAACAAGATCAAAATTAGAAATTTCAAATTGAATGGCATTAACTGCTCAAATTAAAGAGTTATAGGTTATTCATTAGAAATAAAAAGAGAAATTATTAAGCTGAGTAAGGAATGCATGCCCAAAACTGAGACAGGCTGAAAGCTAGATCTCTGTGCCAACAGCCAGCTAAGTTATGTTTGAGGATATGTTTGAAGGAAATTAAAAGTGCTATTCCATTTGAGAACACACATGGTAAAATAAAAGGCTTCTTGCTGGACATATGGAAAAAATATTAGTAATCTAGATAGAGGATAAAGACAGCCCATCTTTTAAACCAAAGTCTAGTTATTCAGAGATTGATTCAAGAATTGGTAGAGAATAAGCCAAATCCATAAAGTCAAGGTGGAAATTGAAGTAGGAACTGCTAATATTGTAAATGAATAAAATTATCCATAATAATCAAGTTTGATTATCCAGTGGATAATGAGTGAAGGTAGTTCCTAAGCAACAGAATTCCAATTTAGGTCAAACAATGGCCTAACATTAAAAAACAACTCTCATTTATCTCATTTATCTTTTCAAAAATTTTCAAGATTTTTAGAATTATGCTAAATATACTTTGCCAATGTATGATACATGGAATAAGGCCTGTATAAAATAATACCTGTTTACAAGATTGTTACTAAATGTTTTAAACCTACTCTTTGGATTATTGAGCAAAAAGGTTTTATCTAAGATATCACTTCTTATTGTTTATGCACATAGTACTTCAATAGCTCTGATGAAGATGTATGAAAAGATTAATGTTTACAAGTTCTGCTAACATAATATCCTTTCTAAAGCTCATGTATCAAGGAAAAATTTCAACTTTCTATTCTGATTATTGAATACGTATATTTCTTTTTTTTAAACTTTTATTAGTGAGACACCATGAGGTATAGTTGTAGACTTTCAAATTTTGTGCTTGGGTTTCAATTATACAAAGATCAAATACCCATCCCTCCACCAGTGCCCATTTCCCACCACCATGAATCCCAGTATCCCTCCCAACCCCCATGTCCCCCATCCCACCCTGCCTCTGTGGCAGGGTATTCCCCTGTGTTCTCTCTCTCCTTTTGGGTGTTGTGGTTTGCAAAAGAGGCATTGAGTGGCAATAATGTTTAGTATATAGTCTACTTTCAGCATGCTTCTCCCATCCTGGGAGGATCCTCCCAACACCCTTTATTTGGATACATGTTTCTTAAGACTATAAATTCCATAAAGTGTGGTATCTATGATATATCTGGTAAAAATAAATTGAAAAACTTTCAAAATGAGGTTAAAGAGAGGTCAGGGATTAAGGTGCTTGCTTTATATATGGATCCATTTGGATTAGCACCAGCACCAATATGGTAGACAGAGGACCAACACGATTGATCCCTGAGCACAGAGCCAGCAGTAAATCCAAGGAATAGCTGGTGTGATTTAAGAACCAACCAACCAACCAATGAATAAAACATCTTTGGCAAAGAATTCACCATTCTACATGACATTGAGGATATTTGTGATTCAGGAAAGATCAAGTATCAGTACTTGGATGAAGTTGACTAAGTTGACTGCAACTTTCTTGGTCAACTCTAGAGATTCCTGGCCGTTGAGGGGGAGAAATTACATGGTGGGGAAATATTAAGAGAGAATTTAACAGCATCTAAAATTGAGAGGATTGACTTCAGTTTTGAAGAATTTGCTGTTCAATAAGATATGCTTTGAGTCAACACTTGATAAAAGATTCTATCATATTGAAAAACATCATGTTCTTTTAATGTAAAAAATTGCCACACCCACCCCAATTTTTACCACCAGGCATTCTAGTATGTCTACAATAATATATAAGGTAAGATCCTCCAGCAGCAAAATATCTATCTATGAATCACTAAGGGTCAAATTACAGCAATAAAATACAGTAACAACAAAGTCTCCAATAGAGACATTACTGGGCCCACTCGAGCAAATCGATGAACAACGGAAGGACAGTGACAGTGACAGTGAATGTACTTATAGACAAAATGCTATTTAAAACTAAAAATTGCATTTGCAAAAATAACTTTCATATGTGCTGGCAAACAAAAATTACGTGAATTACAGTAGGTGGTCTGGAACTGAATTTGCAATATCTATGAATTCTATGGCTGTATACGCATTGTGTACATGACCCAGTGTTCCTACAAATAAATATGGTTAATATTTTTCCTAATATGTTTCTTTAAAGTAAAAGAGATAAATGGGACTGGAGAGATTGCACTGCAAATAGAGTGCTTATTTTGCTAGTAGTCGATCTATATTTGAACCCCAGCTTCACTAGGGTCTCCCAAGCTCACCAGGAGTGATCTCTGAGTAAGAGCCCTGAGCAGTGCCAAGTATGAACCAAACCAAACAAAGAAAATCTCAACACAATGATTGTAATTTTAAAGAATCTTTATTTTGAAAGACTTAATAATTTTGATTTCAAGGCCACAACCAGTGGTAGTCAGGAGCTACTCCCATCTTCTGGAACTTAGTGTCTTAAGGATCTATGTGGTGTCAAACATCAAATCCAAGTTACCAGAAATTAAAACCTGGATTCCAGTCTATTGATCTATCTCTCTAGTTTCAAGATTTATTGTAATCACATACATTGTTCAAATAAATAAATAAATTAAAGAGTATTTACTGAATAAGAGTATTGATGAATTCTTCATTAAAGCAAAGAAGCAATAACAAAAACATAGTTTTTGCCTTCTTAAAGTTTATTTCTATTGGTGGAGAAATAGCATACAAAATTTAGTTTAAATATGTTTTCAAGTAATGGATATGAAATACCATGAATTGTAACTCTAGGCAAGCTAAAATCATACAGGTATTATGGAATGGAGACTTTTCAATGAAGTTCAATTTCTAGAGAAAAAGTGATGAAGTTTAGACTTTGGGGAGGGATGAATTTCTCTTTTAGAATTATCATATTAGGACATGAGATTTTGACTTAATTGTTTCAGTTTAGTTATGTAGAGCATTGTATATATAGACCAAAATGGTCAATTAAAGAATAAATTATTTATTATTTTGAGTATTAGTAATATTGGACATTAGGCATGCTTTCCTGAAACATCCATAGGAAAAATGAGGGATTAAAGAACTGAGAAGAAGATAGAGAAGAGAGCACCAAATGAAGGGTGTTTTGAGGACCCTCCCAGGGTGGGTAAAGCATGCTAAAAAGTAGTCTATAGACCAAACATGATTGCCACTCAATGCCTCTCTTGCAAAACACAGTACCCAAAAGAAGAGAGAGAGAACAAGGGGGAATACCCTGCCACAGAGGCAGGGTGGGACGGGGGGGGATGGGGGGTGGGGGGGATGCTGGGACCCGTGGTGATGGATGACGGGCACTGGTGGAGGGATGGGCACTTGATCATTGTATAACTGAAACCCAAGCACAAAATTTGTAAGCCTATAACTGTACCTCATGGTGTTTCACTAATAAAAAAAGAAAAAAAATAAAGAACTGAGAAGAAACAGAAATTAAAGAAGAGGTAGGAATATAAAAGACTCATAACTGGTTTTACAAACTCAATTGGTACTGAACAAGATCTTTTTCAGATTATATAGCTTCCAGCTTCCAACTCCCACTGAAGTTAGTTAAAAAAAGAAGTGTAAATGGGTCAAACATATGATTAAAACAAAACTCGTAAGCTTAGTAATAAGTTCTAAGTTAACTTTGGATATTCTGACAAAACCCAGTAAAATAATAGTATTATCAGGTTTCCTCAGAACGGGATATTTAGAAATCACCAAACACATTTTAGGGTCCAGGAATATGCCTTGTTTTTAAAGAAAGTATGGAGAAGTGAATTATTTCTCATCAAATGTGAATAGGGGATTATGTTTACAATGAACTTTAAATGCAAAGATGCATTTCAAGTAAATCTTTCTACCTATCATGGTGTGGGGGTGGTAAGAAGAAGAAAAGGCAGTGGCTAGATCTGACCAATAAGCTTAGAGAGAATCAAACTTCAAATTCATTTTACTCTTTTCTCATGATAACAAAAAGATATTCCATTTTAAAACTAAAATAGTAGTTTAAACACTGAACACCTTAATTATATAAATATATTAGAAGTCCTGAAACTGTGGATGCTTTCATTTTCCAGAGAGAATAAAGAAATGACTTGTAGTAATTATTGGTTATTTCTAAAATTTTTGTTAACTAAGAAAAAAATTCCTAGATGCAATGGATTTTAGTAATAGACAAGGGATTCTATAGTACATTAAAATACAATATTTATATTATGTAGAAGAAATAATGTTAAATGACATAGAGAGACTTGGAAGCTACCTGTTCAAAGTCTTGACAAGTATCAGGAATTTTAAGAGTTAACTACAAAAGCCAGGCAAAAGTATTGCAATGAAACCCAGAACAATATTGCAGATGTGTGGAGTTTAAAGTAGTTGCAGCCCATTTATTCTGCATGCATATTTAATGTGTAAAATTATTTTTGCGTCTTAAAACAACCTCTTAGTAATACTGAAAACTGCAAACCTAGGCAGATCCGGTGCATGCCCAAATCTAAAGAAGAAAGAAATATACCCAAATTAAAAAAGAAAAAAAAACAATTCCTGGTTACTCACGATTCTTTTCACCTCTCCACCTTGACCCAGCTTTCATTCTGCTTGAGGCACCAACAGGAGAAGTTATTTCTGCCATCCAGAGCAGCAGTATCAGTAACAAGACAGCCATGCCAGGTAAAAATAACCTCTACGGAGAGTCCTGTCACAGACGAACCTGAAGGCTTTTACTGGATATGGAAACCTGGAGCCAATCCTTTCATATTATTCGGAATAGATACAAAAAAAGCTGTTTTCCTCATACATTCTCCAAAGGCAGGTGTATAGCATCAGGGTTTTCCATTTGAATCATCCAAGGAATGTTAAAAAATATTAGGAGGGATGTAAAAACCTTCCTCTATACATAAGCAAAATGTCAGGAGAGATAAGCTGACACTTTTCTCTGCCTTCTCTATAGCTATGAGTTCCTAACCTGCTCCTGCCAACTCTCACTTCTTCCAAATGTTTGTCAACATTTTTCATCACACAGTAGCAGGGAAAAGCTGATATTTCAGTATTTTCCCACCTACCCATTCTGTACCACAGATTATAGTACTTGACGAACCTGAATATTTAATTTTGGCACTGGAAACACACCTCATTTCAAACAGAGGTGGTTGTTAAGGAAAGAAAAAAATCCCACTTCTTCTTAAAGCTTGATCTAACGTCTTGGAGAAGAGATTCGATGTATAAATATCCACTGCTAAGATATGATAAAAATACCTCTGGAAAAAAAGGGAGTGGTAAACAATCATCTATCCTACTTAGATGTACTGAGCAATTTTTATACTCGGAGAATAATTTAAAAAGACAGTCTGCCAAAAATATCCTAAATCCATGAAGCAGGGGAAATTTAACATACATTGCACATTCAAGGATCACTGGTTTTGCATTGCATTATAAACACTTGTTTGCTTTGTAAATGCATGTTGGTATATTCCATTTTATCTCTCCAGTTTCCTACATAATGGTTTTCATCACCATGAGCTGAGCAGTCTTTTTTTTTCTGTTTTACAAAATAAGACTTCTCTGTTTCACAATTAAGTATATTTTCTGATGAATAAATTAAGGCATTTTCTTGATTCGTTGGAATCACATTATGACATTTTAAGAATTGTGTCTTCATATTGGCACCTAATCAATTTTTAATAATATAAATAATGTTATGTTTCTAAGAATATTTTAGAGTAATTACATGCATAGATATATATTAGAAGTGCAAGAAAACCATTTCAGAATATTGCTGAAGACATAATAATATGCTATAGTATGTCCTACTTTTACAGTGAAATTGTTCACACCACTGCCAAAACAAATCTCTAAAACTCATACCTGGGGGGCTGGAGCAAAAGCACAGCGAGTAGGGTGTTTGCCTTGCATGCAGCCGACCCGGGTTCGATTCCCAGCATTCCATATGGTTCCCCGAGCACCGCCAGGAGTAATTCCTGAGTGCATGAGCCAGATGCAACCCCTGTGCATCTCCAGATGTGACCCAAAAAGAAAAAAGAAAACCAACTGTTTAAAACTCATACCTGGAAATGAAATGTTTACTGTTAATCTCCTCTGCTGCAAAAGAGAGGGGGAATGGGCTACACAGGCCCAAGTATAAAGATTTGCTCGATTTGCTCCAGCGGGCCCAGTAACGTCTCCATTGGAGACTTTGTTGTTACTGTGTCTGGCATACCGAATACGTCGCGGGGAGCTTGCCAGGCTCTGCCGTGCGGGCGAGATACTCTCGGTAGCTTGCCGGGCTCTCCAAGAGGGGCGGAGGAATCGAACTCGGGTCGGCCATGTTGGCTGCGTGCAAGGCAAATGCCCTACCACTGTGCTATCGCTCCAGCCCTACTTACTACTTCAAAGTATAAAGATAAATTGGAGAAAAGAAGCCTGAGAATTCATGTAGGGATGATGTGGATTATGGGTTTGTGCTCAGAGAAAACCCAAGAAAGGTGATTTTTGCCATTCAAATTCAGTCAAATGCAGCCTTGCAGGTTGCCAAATTTTCAGATTTTAAAGAGAAGTAATAAGTTCAGTGCTTTATAAGGAATTTCCTAATTTTTTAGGCAAAAGAAAAAGAAGTCTCACTTCTTAATTATTCATTTGAGGCAGAACATTGTAAATTTGGTGCCAGTTTAACATTTCCAGGCTCTTCGATTCAAGAAATGTTCTTGAAAGACTATAATGTATCACATGTCATATCAATATTAAATATTCATAAGGTAAGCTAATAGGTCAAATGGGGAGAATCTATACTAGTAATTTTTCATATGGCATGTTGAATGTAATGAGAATGTAAGTGCAGTAATCACACAGGGAAAAAGCTCAAGTTCTCTGGGCCAGCAGAATGCTTTTCATTTTTTTCTCATTTCTACCATGAACTTCAAAATGTAGCATGTTAGAATATATTCCACTCAAGAAACTGACATTGACTTCTAGACTGCCATTTTCTTTTATTTTTGTTTATAATTTTGGGCCACACCCAGTGATGCTCAGGGGTTGCTCCTGGCTCTGTACTCAGGGGACCATATGGGATGCTGGGGATGATACCCAGGTAGGCTGCATGCAAAACAAGTATCCTACCATCTCTATTATCTATCCAGCCCACAAGTGCCATATTTAAAAAATATATTACTCATGTCCTTTGAAAGCCTTCTCCTTATAGCCACTCCATGTAATCTTATTAATGAGTTAACATTAATAGATCATGTTAGTGGCTAGAGTAATAGCACAGCAGGTACGGTGTTTGCCTTGCATGCAGCTGACACTGGTTCGATTCCCAGCATCCCATAAGGTCCCCTGAGAACTTCCAGGAGTAACTCCTGAGTACAGAGCCTGGAGTAACCCCTGTGCATCGCTAGGTGTGAACCCCCAAAAATGTTCTTAATATCTGGGGTTGGAGCTATAGCACAGAGGGTAGGGCATTTCCCTCATATGTGGTCGACTGAGTTCAATTCCCAGCATTCCTTATGGGCCCCTGAGCACCGCCAGGAGTGATTCCTGAGTGCAGAGCCAAGAGTAATCACTGAGCATTGCTGGGTATGACCCAAAAAAGCAAAAAAAACCCCAAAACCAAAAATATCATGTTAATAATTAATAGATAACAAAATATGTATATTAATATATTATATCATATATTGTATATTTATATTATATATGCAGAGTATTGTTATATATTATCAATAATTTATAGTAATAGATAAAAATCCTATAAATGAGTTAATATATCTATTGTCTTTGATTGTGTGTACACACATGTGTGTTTGTAGCACTATGTCTATCATTCATTATTGATCTTACTGAACTATATTTTCTTTAAGAATGTGTTTGTCAGGTGTTGTTAGACCACACCTAGCTGTGATCATGGCTAACTTAAGATTCTGTCTCAGGGATCACTCCTGGTGATATTTTGGGGGATCAATGCAGTGTCAGCCCCGATCCGAGCAGGCTTGGAGATCTCAGCCCCGGGCCCCGCATGTCTTTGTTCCTCTGCCGATACCTTCATGCGTGTGGAGAGTGGTCTCAGTATGGTGGTGGCTGGTTCTGGAGGTCTTCAGCTGCTGGAGGCCTGGTCGGGGCGGGGAGGGAAAGTCAACCCGCTCCCCTCCAAGGGGCCCCGGCGAGGACAGCCAGGCGTGGGGGCAGGAGACTCTGTGCTGTTCTCTTTCGGGAGCTGGGTTTTATAGTATCTGGGTCTTGGCCGTTGATGGTATTACAAGGCACCAGGGGGCCAGTTAGTGGGTATGACCCCCTCCTACTGGAATATGGAGGATCTGGGTGGAGGACGCTCAGCCCCGATCGGAGCAGGCTTGGAGATCTCAGCTGAGACCACTCTCCACACGCATAAAGGTACCGGCAGAGAAACAAAGGCATGAGGGTCCCGGGGCTCAGATCTCCAAGCCTGTTGGGATCGGGGCTGAGCATCCTCCACTCAGATCCTCCATATTCCAGTAGGCAGGGGTCACACCCATCACACCCACCAACTGGTCCCCTGGCGCCATGTAATCCCATCAATGGCCAAGACCCAGAGACTATAAAACCCAGCTCCCGGAAGCTAATGCGGCCGTGTGACATCTTATTATCTCATTCTTACTTTGGACAAACTGGCAGGCTACTGAATGTAACCTGCCCACATGGCAGAGTCTGGCAAAATCCCCGTGGTATACCCAATATGCCAAATACCAGTAACAGTGATGGGTCTCATTTTCCTAACCCTGAAAGAGCCTTGAATACGGCACTTTTTAAAAAAATCTCAGGGCTAGGATGAAGGAGACATTACTGGGGCCTGCTCAAAGCAATCGACGAACAACAGGATGGTCATGATCGTGGTAGAATGCAGTGTCAGGACTCTGCGCCAGACTGCGGGGTGGGTGAGAGCCCTCCCCAGCCCAAGGGACTCAGTCTCAGCAGCCAACCTCCACTGCCCAACCACCACCATTCTTCGGGCCACTTTCCAGACACTCAGGCCAAGCTTCACACATGAATGAAGTCCTACAGAACCCAGATAATGCAATGCAGAACTTTGTGATCTTGTACTCTGGACTCAATGGGACCTGGAACAGAGATCCTTGGCCTGGTTCCCCCAGTCTCTGGTGACTCAGGAATCACACCCATAAGCCACACCCTGCTGGCACCAGACAATCTCCTCATCAGCCATTCTCAAAAACTCAGGGATGCTCTTCCCAGAAGGGAGTATAAAAGGAGGTCTCCAGAACCATGCCACTGGACTCCGTGCCAGGCTGTGGGGTGGGTGAGAGCCCTCCCCACCCCAAGGGACCCAGCCCCAGCAGCTGACCTCCACTGCCCAAACACCACCATGTTCCAGGCTACTTTCTGGACCATGCTTCTGCAAAGTCGCTGCACGACACATTATAAGACACTTCCTACCTATTTATGCCTCTTGGAGAGCCCGGCAAGCCACCTAGAGCACCCTGCCTGCACAGGCAGAGCCTGGCAAGCTCTGCATGGTGTAATTGATATGCCAAATACAGTAATGACAATAGGTCTCATTCCCCTGACCCTTAAAGAGCCTCCAATCATTGAGAAAAGAGTAAAAGGAGGCTTCTAAAATCTAAAGGCTGGGAGGAATAGAGATGTACTGGCACCTGCCCGAGTAAATCAAAGATCAATGGGATGACAGTGATACAGTGATACGGTGCAGTGTCGGAGATAGATCTGGTATTGGTCAATTGCAAGACAAATGACTTAACCCCGGTGCTAACTCTCTGATCCCCAGAACAACCAATTTATTTCTGATGGCTGTATATACTGAAGAATGAAGAGTTTGTTGAAATGGTGAAATATTTTCTGTGATAGATATTAATTTGAGTTGTTAAATTTAAAACATGGCCAATAAAATCAAGTAAAACCACTTTCATGTTTTATACATGCATTCATTTATATGTGGTCATTTGTTTTCTTGCTCACTGGTATTACAATATTTTATAGATAATATAAAATTAAATCAATCATAACCATCCAATAAAAGCAGAACTTGGAACTTTATAACCTG